GAAATTGTTCGAGAGAATTTCTACTGGCTGTTGAAATAGAGTCAAAATTGTACTTATGGTCACTCTACTCCATAGGCGTACTAGCCAAAGGACTGTTGGGAATGGCAGTCTGGTTTGCCCGAAATCACCCCCAATCTCGGGAGGAAGGTGCCGCCACTCTAAACAGCTCTGTTGGAATTGCTTCAGATTGAAAACTGACTATAAAATATGTGTGCCATACTTACGGTAAATAATTAATGCATTTATAATTTCTGTTTAAACCATTGATTTCTTTTACTTCTTCTGATGTCAACGAAAAGTCAAATATCTGGAATGACATTAGAGAAATCATCTCAGTTGTGAAGGAAATTGCAGTTACTTACCAGACTATATAATTATTTTTAAATTTTGGCCTTTCAAATCTATTAAGATGTAATATCATCGCTTCATTAATCGTTGATAATTTGCAATTTTTGTATTTTGAAATACTGATTATTGTCTGAACAAGGTAATTATTCTAATATTTTAAAGATAGTACTGTTAGTCTTAGAATGTCTTTGTGGTGATAAAAACATAATCAAAAGCACACATTATTTCTTTAAAATTTGTTTTTACGCAAGAAAATTTTCTGACAAACTTTTTGACTACTTTTGGTTGAGATTTCTAGGAGAGAACGCAATGCCGCATAACCCCATCAGACATGAGCTCAAACACTCGTACTATAAACAAAAAACCAAGACCAAGCAGTCTACAATCTAAGGTCTAAGCAATTGATGGACCCACTGCGACTTCGTGGTGAAGCCCAAATCTACTGAAGATTATATTATATCGTAATGATACAATCACAGTCCAGGATTTTACAACGTACCTCTAAATTTTCTTTAATCCTTGATGGTGTAACACTTTTTGGTACTAGAGTATAACCTCTATCAATACCCCATCTTAATACAACCTAGAGCAAGGTATATGATTAAGGCATTAATTCCCAAGCATATGAGAAAGACAATAACCTGTTTCAGAGATAATTTAATCACCAGAAAATCTGGTATAGAAATGCAGAGTTATGTTTCCAATACTTGGACTTGAGGCGTAAAAGGCTGATAAATACTCCTTTCATGTTGCCCATGTGTGTCTTTAAATGTAAGATGACAGTACAGGTAAATGCACATTGACATTTTTTCTGATTAGAACTTACTTGAGCAGGAGTTTTGCCATGTCTTTTAGCTATCTTGACTATGGTAGGATCAGTAAGTGTATCAGGAGGCTTTTGTTCAGTACTATAAAACAAAATTACTACCATTCCAATATATAAATTCATAATTGGTCATAGAATACAATGTACTAATTTGAGTTATATAGGTGAACGTGGACCTTGCGACTGTTCAACGACTGCTGTGAATTGATGGCCACCGGGTGAATCTGATCAATAGCTGACTGAAAACTCTCTTTTGAAATTGATCAGCGGATAAATCATAATCAAAGAAGTTCTGGAAGTATATCATTTCCCTTAAAATTAATCAGAAGAAAATGATATCAGATATCAAAATGATTCAAACAGTTTCAGAGCTTCAATTTGTATGTACATGTATACTGGGATTATTATGTATACAAGTCAGATTTCCGCCCGTGGTCTGTTGTTCCAGGAAAGCTTTACCAGTATTGACGTCATAACGTCGTTTATAATGCCGAACAAAGCCCCCTTTTCAGCTCTTTAAGCCAAACAAACAAACCCTTACATTTCTTCCCCTCCTTTAGCTAATGGTGAATATGCTGTAACAACAACTCCAACTTTCTGGCAATAATCAACTAATTCTGTATTGGTAAAATATGGATGTATTTCTATCTGAAATTTTAATAATAATGATAATCGTGCTTGTTATCATATTAAAAGTCATTCTGCGCTTAGGTTTTCTGATCCAAAGCTTGCCGACAATCATAAAATGTTAATCTAACCAATATAGTTAATTTAATTTAATTTAATTTTTTCATGTCATACCTGATTGACGACTGGTTTTACTCTGAGATTTTTATCATTCAATATTCTTCCAACTTGTTCAGCATTAAAATTAGATAAACCAATACTTTTAACTAAACCTTTTAGTACCAGTTCTTCCATTGCCTGGAAAGGTAGAAAATTATTACACAGTGGGTTGTTATTGTTATTATTGTACAGATTTTTCAAATATTTTCTCAAAACCAATTCCTTTAAGAAACTGAATTTTGAAGAAAAGCATGAGCCTTTCGCTCTTAATATTGCAGTCTTTCAATTGTGATAAAAAAGGTAAAAGAAAATTATCTGTGTTCTACAGAAATAGTATCAGAATATCTTGAAAACCTGCTCTGGTCAAACATGTTCAATGATGAAATTGGCAGAAGAAAAGAAGAAATACAAACCCTCCAGGTGTCTAGCAATTTGATTTTAGATGGTCTCAACCCTTCCTCAAATAAAAACGACTCCTTGTCGTCCGAATCCTGAAAATATTTATGAACAAAATCAGCACTTGTAGCAGAGAGTTCAAAAATGATCTCTAGTTACAGGAACCTACACTCACCACGACCGGTGTACATAGAAAAAAGGTTAGAACCACTTTACTATATACTATTTCCAGAAACAAGCACGTATTTTCAACAGTAGTGGTTCTTTAGTTTTCAACTGTGTGGATATTCTACTCGATGAGAAATACTTAAGTGTTTAAAGGTATGTATCTTAATTACGGTGATTACCAAGCTATCTATACAGTGTATTACTTATCAAAGTAAATAAGACATGGAAGTCATCACCTACCACAGCAAATGGCCAGTGC